ACCACCACTCCCCGTCATGTCGCCTTTTTCATATATTTCACCTGGGGTAGAAACTTGGATATCCGTTGCACAGGCCCCCAAAATAAAAATTAGTGACGACGCTTCGTCAATTAAAAAAGAAATGCTTGCCTGGCCATAGGGATGGCGGTCACCACTCCCCCTCTCCCTCCTCCCCCCTCGAATCCGTCACTGCGTGAGATGCAGATGAAAATCGACAATAAGGTTCCTGTTTGGAACGAGGCCGAAGAAAGACAATGTCCTTCGACGTTTTCATTTCGGAAACGAAAATGGCATGGACCGTGAGTGCGGAAAGCACGCTCCTCGCTCCTCCAGTGAGAAGAGAAAAGGCGGAGGAGTCTCGCCGCAGGCGGCGCTTCCACGGAAGAGAAGAGCGCAGGGATTCCCAGTCCGTCGTGCAGCCTGCCTTTCCCATCAAATCTGCTTGCGTCTACCGCGTCTCTCACGTCTCGTAAGTCGTCATACCGACCCCGTTCGCAGGGATTATTCGGCATCGTGATATCGTTGCCTGTTGGATAAAATGTTATTTTATTTCATTCACGATACGATCTCCTGGAATGTTGGCTCCAAAGAGACTGTCGTTCTCGAGTGGCTCACCCTTCGGCAAATACTGTATATATGCTCTCTTTCCAGAAGGGAGAAAGAAGAAATATTACTGGTTTTTGGACGATGTGAAACGAAGGGAGGACGAAATGAGGAAAGGCAAAAGAAGCCTTTAAACCGATTCCAATTAATTCCGAGAGGTCACATTTTTAAAAGGATGGAGGCAGGAAGTGAATCGCGCGAGATTCCCAGAGACATCCAGAGAGCTCGCGGCCCGTAATAACATACGGAGATGCAGGAGAGGGGTTCTGCCTCTTTTCACCCTCCCGAATCTGATTTCTTTTTCCGCCTGAGTAAAAATCCTTATTTTCCTTCCTCTGTTTCGTCCGTGTGCCCGAAGGCGATGGATTTGGAGGCGTCACTCGTGCGGCATTCGAATCGGCTTGAATCGCACACCGACGTGGAGAGAATGCTTTCCGATTCCTTGCGGATTTCACCCATTCCCTCGACCGGATCCACATGGACGGAATGCCAGATCATAGAAATCCCCCTCTCACCCCCGTGAGAAAATGCCGTGATGCTCTCTCCTTCACTATCCTCTGTTCCATTCGAGGCAGTGAAAAGAAAAGGTCTTCGTCGGGAAAAAAAAACGCCTACGTCACAACGAAGATATTAATTTTTTTCCCCCCCAGTTAATATACGAAATTTTGAGGAAATCTGGTATCTTGGCACGAATACAAAACGTACTACTAGTTCATGACGAATTGATCCCGTCCCTCGTAATGAATCCTCCTCAAAAAACGAAAGGAAAGAAAAGCAAGGAGAAGGAAGAAAGAAAGAGAGAAAAAAAAAAGAAGTTGAGAGAGATTGAAGGACGATCCCCTGCTCCTTCCTTCGAGTGCGAGTGCCATTTAATTATCCATCCATCCATCCATTTACCCTGAAAATCCCTTGGGAAGCGAAAGAGATACATTTGTAATTTTCAAATCGTTCTAGTCGGGCAGACCCGATTTCGTGCAATTATTCCGGCTGGCGGTGAGGGAGAGCAACGACTGTTCCGAATAAAGTTTCAACGGTGTATTCACTCCGTCACATCATCAGTTTCGGGTGGGGAAGAGTGCGCAAGTCACCCTCCTCGCCCCTTCAGCGGAGAGAGGCTAAAGGTGGAGCAATGGAGCCGGAGGCGGCGCTTCCACGGAAAAGAAGGGCGCAGGGATTCCCAGTCCAGTCTTTCCACAGTCGTCTGCTTCTTTTCGACCGCGTCTCTCACGTCTCGTAAGTCGTCGTATCGACCCACTGAACTAAGAAAAAGAACTGGAGATGGTGCGGCCATAGGAGTAGCATAGGGAAAAGGGTGCATTTTGAAGCCATATTGGTTGGGTCCAGGCTAAAGCGGGCCTACGGTGCGCATTGGCCGAGGAAGGGAGCAGGTACCACGGGAACATTGGAGCAGCCCTTCTGAATACTCCAGCATGCCCTGCCAATACCCGCCAACACCTCTACCATGCACCTCGTGGTCGCCCACAGTTTCTTTTAGCCTATGTTTACCTTTGAACGTTCACTCGAAGTTCTTTTGACTTTATGCCTTTTGCGGCCATAGGAGTAGCATAGGGAAAAGGGTGCATTTTGAAGCCATATTGGTTGGGTCCAGGCTAAAGCGGGCCTGCGGTGCGCATTGGCCGAGGAAGGGAGCAGGTACCGCGGGAACATTGGAGCAGCCCTTCTGAATACGGATCGTACGGGACGGTTATGGGCGGTTGTGGAGATGGTACGTGGAGCACCAGCGGGAAGCAAAGAAAATCGGATACAAATGGAAACTTGCAAGTGAGCTTCAAGAAAACTGAAATACGGAATCTGAACGTGTAAATTATGTCGACTGTGATGATGCAAGGGCGGCGTAACGTTATCGCCTTCGTAGGCCCAGCAAACTCAGCAAGGGCAAGCCTGGAACTTGGAGGCCCACTCGAGAAATGACCCACTCGCCCACATGAAAGAAGAGTTCCGACATGACGTTATCAGCCCTATGATACTCCCCCAAGAATTATTAGGCCTCCGGTACCATGACTGCCTGCCACCATGATCACGACAGCAAGAAAACTGAGATGGGAAATTATGAAAATCCCATTGTAGTGAATGGAGAAGAGCCACCACGGACCCAAATAAGATGGCTTCCAATTGCCCCAAAGCCATCGTATTGTGCGCCATCTCCAGTTCTCTTTTTAGCTAAGTGGGTCGAACGTATCTCCTAGCCTCGATCGAAGCTGGCCAGTCTAACAGAAAGACAACGATTTCACTCATTTGCCAGATTTTTATTCACTGGAAATGCCCAGCCTTCAGACATCCACGTGGGGCAGTGAATCGAACACACGAATCAAAGCCGACTCAGGGCAATGAGGGTGGGTATGGCATAGGCGCAAAAAAATATAAGCATAATAGCACATTGCAATTATTCGTTACAAATGCTCATCATGAAAATTAGGCAAAAAATCTGGGGATGGATTTCCTCTTTGACGCAACCATTCGAGGTGCACCAAGGCGTATGAACGACACGCGGATGAAAAAAAAAAAAAAAGTGTGGGGGGAGGGCGGGAGGAACATGACCTAAGGCATCCTCCGTGACTGACTAAAAGGGAATAAGAAGGGGTCGGGCCTCATAAACGATGCTGAAAATTCCAATGCTCAGGACACGTTCGCCACCTGGTTTTAGGGGACTTAACTACACCGTCATAATAGGCTCTATGGCACTAAATGTTTCCCCGATTTTGCATGAAAACGCGCCCAATATAAGACGAGCCACTTCTTGCTTTGGCTCATATTCAAATTCTCTTCGTGATGCTCTAGTGGATTTAAGATCGATCTTCCCGTTTTCGAGATACAGATATCAAGTACTGACTTGTATCTCAAAGTGTACTTGGTACCACACTCTAAGAGTGTAATTCATTGGTATTGGCGGGAAATTAAAAGTAGACCCCCCCTGGTTAGGGGGCTTATTTACGCTCTAGAATCCCTCACGAGAAGAACGGAGGGGGAAAAATTTGTCAAAACGAAAGTTCGATTCGAACTACTCCTGTTTACTCTGTTTTTTTTTTCTGTATTTTTTTTTTTAGGGAGATATAGAGGAACCGACCCTGGTTGGTGTCGCGGACTGTCAGTTGAGCAAACGATAACAAACATACCCGCAAAAACCGATATGAATAACGCTATATATGAATAATGATATGAATAATAATAATATTATTATAATAATAAGTCGATCTTGCGTTCAGCAAGGTTTAAAAATTAAAATTCGGTTGCAGTTAAATGCATAAAAATCCGAGGAGGAAATAAAAAAAAAAAGATCATTGTGCTCTTCTTTTTCTCTCATCAAGGGGAAATGCAAGGAAGAGAGAAAAAGGAATTTCGTCGGCTCGGGGGAAGACGCCGGACTTCAAATCGAATCTCGGCGGGCTTCTTTGGCGCTTCCTTCCTCCTCCGTCGGTTGGGCGATCCCGAGCTCCTGGAATTCAATCGGTCGTCATCGCGGCTTTCGCCGTGTCGAGCGTCCAACCGCTCTCGAATGCAAATGCGCGATCGCTACTTTAGAAGCAGACTTTCGTGAAGGATCGACTGTTGCGTCATTGGCTTCCTGTTGATGAAGTTAATGAGAATTCCCCTAGAAAACGCTAGGAATTTTCATCTGCTGAAGCAAATATCGTATCAAATTAGGAATTGTTGGGAAAATGCTTTTTTTGTAATTATGTAGCCATTTTCCTGGATGAAAAAATGTTCATTACTCATTCTTTTCCATTTTAAATTGATTCATGAAAATCTACAAGTTCCGAAGAAGAATGAAATCTTCTTCACTTGCAGCTTCCATGCATCAGAGTTGAGCAAAGAAGAGTTCTAATTCGCACGCATCCAGCTGACATTCTCAGTACTCGATTAATTCTCTTGTGATTTGCCTCGGGCGAATTCATGTCGTCAGTCGACTGGAAAAATCTTGATAAGAAAAACACAGGCGGATCGTCCCTCACGAGTCTGGTTTTCTTTCTTCTCGGGGTTTTCCTCTCGTTAAGACGAAAGGATCCGTGAGTAGGAATGGGGCGGTCAATTGACTGGTCAATTGACCATTATTGACCACGATTTTTTTTTTAATTCAGTGAATTAAGGTATTTTCATCGAGCTCATAGCTGTGGTCATTTATCCCCCAGCACTAAAACCAAAGAACCAGTTCAATTTTTAAGATTTGTTCATGCAGCCTGCCAAACACCCGTAGACTGTGGCACCTGTTGCGCATGAAAACATTTTAGCAAATGTTCGAACTACCATGACCTTTCACCTGAGTGATGCAGAGTGTGTGCAGGCATAGCCTGCTGTTCAAAGTTTTATAGCCTCAAGGACTTTCAAAGTTAAAGTTCAAGATCTCAGTAACAGCTTCAGAACTTTAGTTTCGTGCAAGGTCAATCACGGTCCTGGGTAATAGTTTGCATCAGAGCATCAAATTATTCTCAAAGTCTGTGCAGGGCGAGATCGCTTAATTGCCAAATCCCTGTCGTCAAAATCAACTCACCTTGAAATGGGAATAGACGACGAGGAAGAAGTGGATCCCGACGGGATGAACGAAGAGAGAGGCGACCATCGGGACGACGAAGAGCATCCAGTGGAAGCCGACGAGGAAGAGCCTGAGGAAGAGGGCGAAGAGGGCCAGCGCCCAGGCGATCAGCACGAGGAAGGAGACGCAGAGCCACGGGATCATCAATTTCCTCTCCGCCTGGAATTTTTCCACATTCAATTTTTCCGCATTCAATTTTTCCACATTCTCATCTTTTCGAGGGAGGCGAACGCGTCGTGAATCCAAGCCATTTAAGGGACTGGGAAAGTAAATATTCATCTTCCTTTCCCATCGTGCTACGTTCTCCAACGCCATACACGCTCTTTCCCTTTTGAGTTGCTACCGATATTAGTCAAAACATCGGCGGTAAAACTTTGAATGCTTGGAACCCCATTGTCTTTCGATGCAAACAAGTCGGGTTTCGTGTCGAAATCAATTTGAATGGATGCCTAGGAGAACAGTCTGTGCCGATATAAGGAGCTCGGAAAGGGCCTCGAGCAAAACGAACCTTGCGGATCCCATGAATGAGGAGCGAAGACGTCGCGACCGTGACGAGCGAGAACACCGTGCCCCCGATCGCGACCTCCAAAGCCGCTGGAAAGGGCAAAAGGCCAACATGAGACCCGAGCACCCGGTCTCGCGGAGCATTCACCAACGGCAGAAAATCAACGACCGGCGCGGACCGGCGCAAAACGCGGCATCGACTCGGACCCGTCACCGGAAGCGAGAGAACTCACGGCGTTCCGAGGACTCTTCCGTGACGTCGCCGTCGCTCAGGAAACGTGTAATTAATTCCACTTGGCTCATGAAGAAGACAGCGAAAGCAAAGAACTGGAAAAGAAAAGTGCCTTGCATTAATTAAGAACGGCCTTCAAACTGCCCCCGATTTTGCAGCGGAGTTGGGGACTTCGATTCCAGCTGACAAAGATCTCACAAGTGTTCATATTTTCCAAGGGAGTCATTAGATGCCAGATTTGGGATTGGCACATATTTAAAAGAAATTGTTCATACGTACGTACCGGAAAAAGTTGTTGTTGTTGTTTGTTTGTTTGTTTGTTTGTTTGTTTTTTTTCCGCATATCAGCATTTGCATTTCGTACGAGCAGATTTTGATCGATCGGGCAAATACGAGACTTAGATAACACGCTCTTCCCGTTTTAAATAGTTCTCGAAGGATCGCT